TAAATGTACAGTAAGTGTGTTTTATTTTACATGATTATCAGCAGTGTTTGCTGATTCTGTGATGTTTTATGATTATCGTCATCGTCTGTACTGTAAGGATGATGATGATGATGATGATGATGATGAACACACACAGCCTGAAAGGACTCATTGTTAGCTGAGATGTTGTCATGGCAACACAACCCAGAAGAGATGAAAAGCAGCCCTGCGTTTGTTCTTCATCTCCTCCATCCTGACAAACACGCTCAGATATTGATGAGTTATCACAGCCGTTCTTCTGATAAATAAGCTTCTCTGGCTGGTCCCCTAATGCTCGTCAGAAAACGTAATTGTTGTGTTTGTGGTCGATCTCATGTGAAATTGCTAGTGATTTTTGGCTTTCTCACATGGGAAGTGAATGTGTGAGTGCTGCTGGGCCATTGATTCCCAGAGAGCTCAGACCGTGATCAATAATACATCCATCCGTCAATACTGTCATATTCCCTTGTGTGAGACGTCAGCTCACCTCCAACCATCACTAATCAACAGATTTCATCTAGATGTGTTTACACTGCAGAGAAGAACAATGGGATTTTGATGTGCATCAGATTGCAGGCAAAATTTCATTATTTCTTAAAGATGAATTGGATCAACCAAGGTCAGTCCAAATCATATTTCACCCCAAAATCTAAAAAAGAAACCTAATATCTAGCCCAAACATGTGAATTGTTTTGGAACATCTAAATTAACTGGTTTCATTTTCTTAAATTATTTATATATATATATATATATATATATAGTCAAAATTATTTTACACCAATGAAGTAATTTTTAAAGCATGTTACATTTGAGGAATATTATGTATTACATTCTCAGAGAAATCAGTATAAGTTATAGAGCTCCGTTCGGCTGAAGGAAAACATTGATGTGTACGTACGGTATATTACGTATACCGTTATTCGCCTGTATAATTCAGACTGTCATCCTCAGATGTTGCTGGACGGCGCTGTGGGACCCAGTGCTGGTTTGTTCTGAGGTTGTCGAGGAGCCGATGACTGAGATGAATGACTGGAGAGAAGCTGCAGTGAAGATGCTGTTAAATATAGAAGGCCATGAGAGAATGACGCATCTGCCTTTAGATCATCTGCACACACTGTTATTGGGTAAGTCCTGCATCACTGTGGCTCAGAGTTACTGTCAGTGATCTGATCAAGCCAGTATTAACCTTCAAGTCGATGTGACAACGTGCACTGGCCATCAAAACTAAATGTGTTGGTCTTTAACCATCAAATTATGTTCCAGGTCGGTTTGACCCACAGTTATTGGAAATACTGATGTTTTTCTTGAAATTCTGTCATTACTTCTCATTTAGGGTCTGGGGTGTTGTGGGGCATTTTTTTTACAATTGTGATGCTAACAGGTCAATTTTACCCACAAACTTCATGGTTAAAACAGATACACAGACCAAAATTAATTTTATATATATATATATTAAAGTATTTTGTTATGTCACTTTCTCAAAACCATCTGAGGGTATTTACATTTATGCATTTTGCTTTTATCCCAAGAAGTATATGCTTCAGTTAATTTATTTTATTTTATTTTTTATCAGTTTTTATCAGTTACTGCATGTGATTTTTGCTGGGAATCGAACCCATGATTTTGGTGTTCAGGAAAGCACACAAAAAAACCTACAAATTAAAAATAGAAATAAATAAATAAATATTTTTAAAAATCATTTAAAATCAGGAAACCGCACACACCCAAAAAAAATAAATTAAATATAAAAAATATATATATGCATTTTTTTGTTTGTTTGTTTGTTATTGATGTGATACTAACAGTAGGTTTTAACCATCAATCAAAACTAAACATGGATATTTTACCCTTATATAATATTCCAGGTCAATTTGAACCACAGTTTTACAGATACAGTTTGTAAAATGTTTCCATGTTTATTTCTTAATTTAATTTAATTTAGTCGATGTGACAACGTGCACTGGCCATCAAAACTAAATGTGTTGGTCTTTAACCATCAAATTATGTTCCAGGTCGGTTTGACCCACAGTTATTGGAAATACTGATGTTTTTCTTGAAATTCTGTCATTACTTCTCATTTAGGGTCTGGGGTGTTGTGGGGCATTTTTTTTACAATTGTGATGCTAACAGGTCAATTTTACCCACAAACTTCATGGTTAAAACAGATACACAGACCAAAATTAATTTTATATATATATATATTAAAGTATTTTGTTATGTCACTTTCTCAAAACCATCTGAGGGTATTTACATTTATGCATTTTGCTTTTATCCCAAGAAGTATATGCTTCAGTTAATTTATTTTATTTTATTTTTTATCAGTTTTTATCAGTTACTGCATGTGATTTTTGCTGGGAATCGAACCCATGATTTTGGTGTTCAGGAAAGCACACAAAAAAACCTACAAATTAAAAATAGAAATAAATAAATAAATATTTTAAAAAATCATTTAAAATCAGGAAACCACACACACACACAAAAAAAATAAATTAAATATAAAAAATATATATATGCATTTTTTTGTTTGTTTGTTTGTTATTGATGTGATACTAACAGTAGGTTTTAACCATCAATCAAAACTAAACATGGATATTTTACCCTTATATAATATTCCAGGTCAATTTGAACCACAGTTTTACAGATACAGTTTGTAAAATGTTTCCATGTTTATTTCTTAATTTAATTAATTAATTTATTTATTAATTAATTAATTTATTTATTTATTAATTAATTTATTTATTTATTTATTTATTTTATTTTATTTTATTTTATTTTATTTTGTTTTATTTTATTTTATTTAGTATTGTGTGAGAAATGTTAATGTTAAAGGTTTACTTTTTTTCATAGTGTGATTTTTGGTTAATTGCACTCAGAATTGAATGATTGTATCCAGAATTTTACCATAGGCGTTCAAATGCGTGACTGGCTCTGAAAGCATCATGAGATCATTTCTGAACGCGCTGTTCCTGAGTGTCGTCTTTGGCAGGTCTGATGTGAGCTGAATGATCTGAGATCACTCTTGATTTGATTAGCAGGGGTCTGGAGCGGCTCTAGTGTGTCTCGGGAGACGCTGCTGTTGTCTGGAAACAAACACAAGGAGCTTCAGTATGACGAGGACGCAGAGCCTTATTCAGCAGCCCAGGAGACAAATGTTGGATCTGCTCGTGATGCTCGCCGTCGTCAGCGTGCTGGATGTGTGTCTTGTGTTGTGGATGGGTATAAGTATGGTGAATTAGGGTGATCTGTTTGCTCCTTTGACATCTGCAGATTAACACACGACAACCCAGACTTGCAGAAATACTGGGTTTTATATATGCAATGTTCACATGTAGCTTTGGTCAAATTTCATCATAATTAGCCCTATTTAACTCTCTTCATACGGTTTTCCTTATCATAATTATTCTACAAAAGAAAGATCATCTAATGCACTATATATTTTTTGGGGTTGCATTCCAAAAAAATTCCACAAGCTTTCTGAAAGCTTCAACATTGTAATATAAAATCTGTATAAAAGAGCATCAAGCACACTGAGAATATGTACTGTACAATGGGGAATTATTCCCTCATCATACATATGCATTTTAGCCGGTCCAACAATAAAATTATGTTGCATTTTGTTCTAATTTGGCACAAAAACAACTCTTCCATTTGGGAAAAAATCTTCTTAAACCTGTGCTGGTCTTGACAATCTGATTGCCCAACCTGACCAGCTGAAAACTGCCCAAAACCCCTCTAAAACCAGCTCAGGCTGTGAGGGTTTAGGCTGGTTTCAGCTGTTTTTTCAGCAGAGTTTTGTATTTTAAGAAAACAATCCTTAGAAAAATAGAACAGGTGCTGAAAAATTTCTCAGTTAAATTTACAGGTTAATTTCCTTTAACCATAAAATTCAACACAATGAAATGCATAATTCCAAATCCGGGTAAGATGCCAGTGAAAATTAATAAGGAAAATATTAACACAGTACATTGGGACCTTTTTTATTGACTTTTCTTAGAGTTTAAGAGGAAACTTCTCAATACAAACCAAATGATTTAAATGTGCAAATTAAAAGAAAAAGTGTAAATTTAAAAAAAAATCTGTCAATTTATTATTTTTTTATTTTTTTATTTTTTTAATTTTTTGGCGCAAAATTGCATAATTTTGCTGCTTTTAACTGGTTTGACAAGCTGGTCTTCCAGCCTGATTAGAACCAAAACCCTCTAAAACCAGCTAACAGATCAGGCTGGTTTAAGATGTGCTTTCAGCAGATAAACTATAAACCAAACAAATTAAATATGCAATAGAAGTGCCAAACATGTACATTACAAATTCTTACTTATTCTTACAGTTTAACTGAATAAATCTGATTTTACAGTGCTTGGAAATCAAGCAGGTGCGACCAGCTAATAAAACCATCATAAGCAATTACAGAAAGGGCATTTATCTATTAAATCTGGTTTTGGAAACAAACATCATTTATGGCGGCTATAAGGTCAGTGTCCTATGCTTGCCTTTGAAAACCCCAAACAGGTCATGCAATATAAGTGCAAATTAAAAAAATAAAAAACATTCCTAACCTGCTGTTAAATAAATAAATAAATCGGCCTAATCAGGCTATAGTCTGTAGGCTGGTTTCAGAGGGTTTTGAGATCAAGCAGGGCGACCAAATTAAACCAGCTAATTAAACCATAGAAAGGGCATTTATCCATTAAATCTGGATTTAAAATAAAAACAAACAACATTTATGGCTATAAGGTCCTGCTCATCTAGGAAACCCAAACAGGACTAATAACCTTCTCAACACCAAAACTAGTTCTCCAGGGAGAGTCAAACCTTTGTAGAGAGAGAGAGTGAAGAGGGAGGGTGTCTGTGTGTGTGTGTGTGTGTGTGTGTGTGTGTGTGTAGAGGGGGGGTGTGTGTGTGTGTGTGTGTGTGTGTGTGTGTGACAGAGAGAGAGAGAGAGAGAGAGAGGTAGGCTGCAGATCGTCTTCGCGTCGCTATTGGCTTCTTGTTCCTCCGCACGCCCTCCGCGCCGCGCACCTCTAGCGCACAGTGATGCTCGCACCTGGCGAAGAGCGGAAGACCCGCAGCATCAGCACCAGCGGATCTCCATGACGACAGCAGCACCTCCAGCATGGTGCAGAAATCCCGCAACGGCGGCATGTATCCCGCCCCGCAGGCCGAGAAGAAGCTGAAGGTGGGCTTCGTGGGGCTCGAGGCGGGCGCCACGGAATCGAGCCGAGACGGCGCGCTGCTGATCGCGGGCGCGGAGGCGACGAAGCGCGGCAGCATCTTGAGCAGACAGCGCTCCAGCATCTCCGGGAAGAGGCCGCCGAAGCGCAACGCGTTCTACCGACGCCTGCAGAATTTCCTCTACAATGTTCTGGAGAGACCGCGCGGATGGGCGTTCATCTACCACGCTTACGTGTGAGTGCCATCAAAACAAAGAGCTTCTGGGGGCTCTCGGGCATCACCTCGCTTTAGCTCGTGCATTTGATGAGATGCTTACAGGGTGGCGGGATTGTTCGAGCGATAGAAGAGGGGCTGCTTTTTATATCACTCCAACAAAAGGGTCCTTTGTGTTTCTTTAACATTAAGTGTTCGGTTTAGAGCCTGATCTGCCCAAAGAACCCTTTAATGATCATTGTGTTAATTGTGGATCATTCCTTGTAGAAAAGCGCTTCACATGTTTACAGTGTGGCAGGATTGTTCTAGTAGTAGAACATGATGTGACTTTTCCTCTGTCTGTTCTATTACTCCCAAAAAGCTTTAGATGAATATCTGCCCATGCAAAGAGCTTTTATATACTGCAGTGAATCGTTCTGTTTGGGACTTTAGGCTCTTGTTCTTCATGACAGTGAACTGTTATATGCTGCATTTCTGTTGTGCATGTCATGCATTTTGCAGAAGTTATGGCAAGAGAAGATGGTGCAATTCCTTCCGGTTGCTGATTATATCATTCTAAAATGATTGAAGCAATAGTACAATGATAATGGCATTAATAGTTCAGTTTAGAGCCGGATTAATGATCATTGTGTTGAGGCTTAATGTTCCTTCCTCTTCTGTTCCTTGTGGAAAAGCGCTTAATTTTTAACATATTGAGTGGCAGGATTGATATAGTAGAAGATGATGTGACTTTTCTTCTGATAGTTTAATATATCACTCTAAATACGCTTTGTTTATATGAAGAGCCATCCAGATGACCCTCTTAAATAGCAATGAGTCATTCTGCTCGAGACTCGTGTTCTTCATGGTGAAGGTCTGTTAGGCGGCAATGAACTGCTGCATTTCTGTTGTGCATTTCATGCATTTGACAGATGTTATCACAACAGAAGATGGTGCAGATCCTTCTGGTTGCTTATTTTTTAATGGTAGGCCTATTAATAGTTCATTTTAGAGCCAGATCTGCCCAGAGAACCCTTTTATGATCATTGTGTTGAGGCTAAATGATCTTTTGCTTTCTGTTCCTTGTGGAAAAGCGTTTCATGTTTGTCATGTTCATAAAGCGGCAGGATTGATGTATTAATAGAAGATGATGTGACATTTCTTCTGCTAGTTTATTGTATCAATCTTAAAGGATTGTCAAACGCTTTGTTTATTTGGATAGTTGGATTTAGAGTCATATCTGAACCTTTTTGTACTGAAATGAATCATTGTGTTTGTGGCTGAAAGTCCTTTAGGATCTTGCTCTGCATAGAAAAGGCTTGATACACGACCATGAACTGTTATCTGCTGCACATTTGTTGCGCATTTCATGCATTTGACCGATGATTACTTGTTTTAGCAATTGAAGATGGCGCATTTTCCTCCTATCAATCTAAGAAGATTTCTTAAAGCTCTTAATGGTATTAATAGTTCAGTTTAGTATCCAGATGAAATAGATCATCGTGTTGAAGGTTTCTGCACTAGACTCATGAAGTCTAAAATCAGGATTGTTTAGCACCAAAGTGAACGCAGTAACAATTGTTTAATTGAAGAATGTTTTAGCAACAGAACATGGTTCTGTGTGACTTGTTGGTGGTTCATTATATCACTCTGAAAGCTTGTTTTGTGATATTAATAGATTTTATTTACCCAGAGAATCTTTTCGTGCTCAGATTTCATGCTCACAATGTGTTGGTGTTTGAAGGTTCTTGTTACAAGCTGAAGAAATCCAATCTAATGTCATTTAGAGGCACAGCTCAACCTTGTAAGAGATTTAGTTTCAAATTACCTTGTTTTAGCTTGTCCAGAGCTCATGTGAAACTGCGTTGTTTCTCATTCTCTCCTCATCCAGATTTGGATTCATCTTTTGTAACTCGTCCTGTATTATTATTAACCTGTGATCAGCATCAACCGCTGCACAATCAGAGCGACACACCGACGGCAGAATGACAAACAATCACCGAAACATGCTATAAAAACACTGTTTAATCAAGAACTGAAACAGAAAATACTGCTTATGATCAGTTTCCATGCATCACCATTACAACCATGTACTGTGGCATTGCTTTAAGATGTCCCACGGTACTAACTGACTATTATGATTAATGTACCTTCGGGTACATACCATTATCGGTTATTATATATCAAAGTTTAATGATGTATTTACAGCATGTTTGGTGATATCAGCTGCAGATGTAGACGTGCTCACAAGCGACCCTGTTTTGAAGCGTATGGCGATACCAGTGCGCGTATCTTCACAGCATTACCCTCCGACCGCGTCTAATCTCACTCAATTAAGCGTGAGTCTGCAGCTCATTGAAGGCAATGTGAGGCGCTGGTTTCAGCACCGCAGCTTGTGAACAGCTCCCGTGAATCTCACAGCAGTCCTGAGACACAGATGCATGAGCAGGAACAGCATTTACACTCAGTTCACATAAAAAACTCTGAGATTAGGTCAAAAAATCAAAAGCAAGATCATTTATAGTTAAACAAAGATGCACAAACATCATAATTGTTAAGTTGCGGTCATTTTGACCTGGAGAGGATTTTTTTTTCTTTAAAAAAATCGCATTGGACTAAAACTTACTGACTTACTGCTCACACGGGGTATCACAACCTCCCAAAAAATTATAATTTTTGTGCTTTTTTTTCTTTCCCACCTTGTGGTGTTTCTGGTAAAAATTGACTGGCATACAAAAATTGCTTATGCATTTCTTGTTATGCTATATTATTACCAAATATTGGATTAAATCTTTTTATTAACATGTTTTCTTTCAGTTAGCACAGGTTTTGTATTTCGTTTTGGAACTGATTGATCGTAGGCCTCATTAGTCTAAGCTTATGCGACTCAGATTTTGAGTGATTATTGCCAAAATTATTCACAAATAATGCTTTTTTCACTCAAAAACGAAGGGTTAAATCACCAGTGTTTATAGCAGTACTCGTCTGTTTGTTGCATTTTGGACTATTTTGTGATTTTTTTTTAATGTTAAAATACGCATATTTTTTTGTGATTTTGTTAAAACATCTAAAAAATACCACCTCAAACAGCCCAAAACAGCAACATGGACACTTAATGGTGTTCTTAATTCTCTTAATTAATGGTGAAATAATTAATAAATGAATAGTGCATATTAAACTTATATTAATATGTTATTTTCTTATCATTCAGGTCTCTAATATAATGACTTTGTCTTTGTTTATTTGCCATTTTCACAGTCTTTCTAATGAAAACCAACCAATCATATTGTCTTTTTGCCATCTTTATTTATCTGTTTGTCTTCACAGCTGAAAATGAATCATTTTTTCCCCATTTCTCCATATGTGCAGTCTTTTCCTTTCTATGTGATGTACTGTACTTGTTTCTCTTTATCTGGTTAACTCTTTATCATAATTATATTTAATTAAACAATGGACTCATTAGTCAATGTTATCATGAATCCTGAGTATCTGGATTATATCTGGTCAAATTAGCAGTTGTGTGGGTGTAGATACAGGATTCGTTTCTTCATGGTTCCTCCAAAGCTTTCTTTCCATGCCATAAAAATGCTATACGTAATGCTATATTTTAAGCTAGAAACCCAAGTGTTGATTTGGCAGCAGGAACAGGACTGTAGTCAATAATAAGGTGTTTTTGAAATGTTCTGAAATTCTGCACTCTTGTATTTTAGCTGCAGATGAGTCTAAACCGCTGCATTTCCGTGTCGTGTATGAGAATGAAACACGCTGGCAGACAACTGCAGAGTAACACGCTCAAGTCAGCAAAAACTGCTAATCGTAGTAGACAGTTTGGAAACCAGAGAGGATGAGTTAAATAAATAAATGACTCAAAACTGCCACTGTCACGATGTTTTAGAGGTGCTGATGTTCACCAAATAACAGCAGTAAAGTCAAACGATGTGAGTACTTCACAAAGAAAATGCAATTGAAGCTATCGTGCACTGTAAAAAAATAAACAAAATTTAAATTTATGGTAAAAAACTAAAATGGTAGCTGTGGTTGCCAGAACCTTAACATGGAAAATATGATTTATGAAATAAATAATATGAAATATGACATTTTAAGTGTTGTAGATTGAAATTTTATTTAAATTTTAAAAATGTATATTGCATTAACTGTAATAGTTAATGTACCAAATTATTAAAATGTGCTTTGTACCTTTTATAATATACTAACAGTTAGCTTTCCCACATGCTGAAACATTAATATATAGAAGGTGCACCGTGTTGTGCAAAACACCATAAAATAATGCAATAAGCATTAGATTAATAGCATAAAATGTAACATATTGTAAAAACCCTAATGTACATAACTGATAAGAAGAAACTGTTATTTCAATGAAAAACAATCCAAATGTAAGCTGTCACACAAGGAATGTTATGTTTTTTTTTCTTTTCGCAAAACAGTATTTTATTGTAAAATTCCCATTAGATGTCCTGTTAGATTTAGTGCAGTTTTGCACCATATGCAAATCTATCATTAACCAATTATTAGGTTTTTACTGCAGTATTGTATCATTAAAATTACAATCATTTTTAACAGTGTAGTTTTCCAGACAGGTGTTTTAGTTTTCACTAGCGTGTTTGTGAAAAAGATGCACTTTTATACCGTCTTCATTTACTCACCAAAAGTAGAAAATGTCTTATGTGAGTGAGTGAGTTTGTTCAGCATGTGAAGAATAACCTCTGTGATGCTGACCTGATGAATTTGGTCATCATCTCGCTGTGGGAACAGACAAACATGACACACACGTCCCTCATGTGACGACATTGTTTTGTAAAACTCGTGTCTTATGTGGCCTTTTGATCGCTGCTGTCTTTCTGCAACCAGCGTCAGCAGTTTTCTGGTTAATACCCATTGATTTGCTGCTCAAGAAACATTTCTGATTATTATCAATGTTGAAAACTGTTGTGCTGCACAATATTTTTGTGGAAACTGTGATGCATTTTATTTTTCAGGATTCACAGATGAATAAAGTTCAAAAGAACAGCATTTATTTGAAA